GAATTTTTTCCTGTTGTTTTTTTTTGGGGGGGGGGGGGTGTTCGGTATTTTTGTTTCAACCATCTGGCAACCCTACGGGCGGGGCCTGTGTTTGCCTTCTGGACTTTGAGCATAAGGACGCCCTTGGGCCACATGCAAGTTCTCCTCCTCAGCCAGGGGCCAGAGAGGTGCTTTGCGTCCCCCAATGGCCGAGGTTGCCAGCGATCACTTGGCTCCGGGAGGCAGGGCTCGAAGAAGGCTCCGGCCCAGCGGACGTGCAGTGCGACCCAGATTGCTGCCAGCCTTGTGAGAGTGGCGCCAGCTTGCTGCAGTGCCTGTGGTCTACGGGGAGCCCCCATGGACACGTCTCCTGGAGGGGGCCACGCTGCAACCACAATGGCTGTGCTCCCTGGCCAGCGCCCTCGGAGCGCGACGGAGCAGAGCACTGCCCGTGCCTTCGGGGCAGCCTGGCGCCTGCCTCCCCTGCCGGCACCTGGTGCGGTGGAAGCAGCCAAAGCCAGCGCCGTGCAACTGCTCCACTCGGCTGCGGGCAGCGACCCCACCCACACGGCTCCAGATTCACAAGTTGGGAGGTGCCAATTCAGCCTGGATCTGAGAGCCGCACTGGGCTTCCCCCCGGTGCAGCCTGTGGGGGTTGGAGTCCAGGTGCAGAGCTCGTGGGGGGAAGCAGGAGCGCAGGGCTCTGTTGGTCACTGAGGCTGGTGTCACTGGGCTTCCACTCGGCTGCGGGCAGCGACCCCACCCACACGGCTCCAGATTCACAAGTTGGGAGGTGCCAATTCAGCCTGGATCTGAGAGCCGCACTGGGCTTCCCCCCGGTGCAGCCTGTGGGGGTTGGAGTCCAGGTGCAGAGCTCGTGGGGGGAAGCAGGAGCGCAGGGCTCTGTTGGTCACTGAGGCTGGTGTCACTGGGCTCCAGGCCCGTATCGCGATGGCCCAGCGGGAGTCCAGCAGTGGCCCGGGGAGAAGGCCACAGAAAATTCCCTGTCCCTGAGCTCTGGGGGCTTGCTGGGTTTGTGCAGCGCCTAGCGCAGCGGGGACGCCTTCGTGCTAGTGCCGTGCAAATCATAAACCGAAAGCCGGTTCGGATCCGCTCCCGAGAGCCCCTGGAGGGAGGGTCCTGACCCTCAGTTTACAGATATGAACTGGCCTGTCCCGGGCCATGCAGCCAGTCAGCAGCAAAACCCAGTCCTCTGCTCAGTCCACTAGGCCACGCTGCCTCAGCAGGCCCGCAACGGGTGGGGGAAGGGCACAGGGGGCACCTGCCCTGGGGCCCAGTGGGAC